AGCTCTACACCTTGTTATCTCAGATTCTCCAGCATCTACAGTTCCTACTATCTCTGAGCCTATTTTCCAAGGATCTGTATCCCTCTGCTTCCTGCCCATTCATGTATCTGTCTAGATACATCTTAAGTGACGCTATCGTGCCCGCCTCTACCACCTCCACTGGCAACGCGTTCCAGGCACCCACCACCCTCTGCGTAAAGAACTTTCCACGCATATCTCCCTTAAATTTTTCCCCTCTCACCTTGAAGTCGTGATCCCTAGTAATTGAGTCCCCCACTCTGGGGAAAAAAGCTTCTTGCTATCCACCCTGTCTATACCTCCCATGATTTTGTAGACCTCAATCAGGTCCCCCCTCAACCTCCGTCTTTCTAATGTAAATAATGTTTTATAAAATGTTCATAAAATGTTTTCTTATTAGAATAGCATGTTTTGGAACTGAGCGAAGAACAGGCATTACTAGGCCTGATATTATGCAATGACATGAGATTAATCTCATCAATGAAGCCACCCCTAGGCAGCAGCAAGCATAATATGATCGAATTTTACCTTTGTTTGAGGTTGAGAGAAGTGGGTCTGAAAGGGCAATAATGAGAGTATGAAGGTGGAGCAGGCTAAGGTGAATTGGCAAATTATATTAACAGGTAAGTCACCAGAGATACAATGTCAGACATTTAAGGGGATGCTTTAGAATACAATGAATAGAAACATTCCAATGAAATGGACCCACCTTCTGTGGTTAACCTAGAAATGTTAAAGATAGTGCCAAACTAAAAGAAAAAGTCCTGTTATGCAAGGCAAGGTGGTAAACCAGCAGACTGGGTGGAATTTTTTTTTCCAAAAAATGACTAAAAATATTTAATGAGGGAACATTAGTTTACAATAGAAAGCTAGCCAGACATAGACAGTAAGATTTTCTATTTTTTTTAAGATGTTAAGGCTGTGAACATTGGTCCTGTTGTCAATGAGTTTGGAGAATTAATCATGAAACCGAAGAGACGCCAGATAAATTGAGCAGAATTTTTGCATCAGCCTTCATGATAGAGGATATAAGAGGCATCCCAGAAGCAACCACAAATTAGGAAATGAAAGCAAGGAAGAACTCAGGAAAATTGCAATAGTCAGAGAAGTGGTACTGGAGCTGCAATCTAACAAGTGCCAGGGTTTTGATGGATTTCATCCCAGGGTTTTAAGAGGTTTCAAGTAAGATTGTTGACGTATTAACTTACCTGATTTCTAGGAAGGTCCCATTAGATTGGAAAATAGTAAATCTAGCACCATTATACAGCGACAATAAAGCAGGAACTACAGGCCAATTAGGTTCACATCTGTCATAGGAAAAGTGTTAGAAACTATTAGCAAAGAAGTTATCGCAGGACATTTGGAGAATTTCAAGGTAATCAGGCAGTGTCAACATGGTTTTATCACAAAGTGCCTATGGAACTCTCTTCCTAAAAAGGCAAGCAGAGTCTGAATATTTTTAAGACAGACATAGGTAGATTCTTGGTAAGCAAAGGTGTTAAAAGATATCAGTGGTAGGCAGGAAAGTAGATTTGAGTTTACAATTAGATCAATGGTCTTATTAATTGACAGGGCAGGCTGGAGGGACTGAGTGGCTGATTCCTGATCTTTGTTTGTATTTAAGAAAAAAGCAAATCAAGACTGACTGAGAAAGGAAGTATAGATGTATATACAAAACTGCATTAATTATTTAAATGATCAAAATCATCTTTAAAAATCTTGTCATCTGAAATGTCTTAATGAATATACAGTATTTACTTGTGGCGCCATATGGTTCAGGCAGGTTTCAAAGTCCACAGTTTTAAGCTATATCTTGCATAAAGGTAATTGTGAAGTTATCATCGTCCTACTTTCTGATTAGACAGAGAAGACTGGTGGTGAGTTTAACCTGAAGGTCACCACACCTCAGGCAAGAGGTGAAGTTGAGAAGGTGGAGCATTCATGGTAACTTTAGCCAGTGCAGGAATTGAATCTGTGCTGTTGGCTTCACTCTGCATCATGAACCAATCACCCACCCAACTGTGCTAACCAACCCCCATGCATTAGGAAGGTTGGGTATCATTGATTTTCTGACCACATTCAGGCACAATATGCGTGTATACAGTTTATATATTTTGCCTGCTTTTATTTGGGGATGGCAGTGAAAATGATAGAATTGAAATGAGCCTCAACTCAGACAAATCAAGTAGGAACATGAGTAAATTATGGATGAAGGATGCCATTTATCTCATAGTTCGTCCATCCAGAATAAATCTAGAGTGTCAAGTTTTGCAATCAGTTGGTTCTTAAAGGAAGTTAGAATGTTTACTTTCTAGTTGTTGATTACTCTTTGGGCAACTTCCAGCAAGTCAGAAGCTACACTAAAAATGCTTAGTTTATGTGTTCACATTTTGGGTTGTGCTTTTCCTTTTAGAAATTTCAGCACTGCGTGGATTCTGTGCTTATACTAAATGGAAAAAAATGTTTTTTGTGAAGTGGATTGTGTAGTATCTCACTTAAGTTAAATCTGTTGGTTAGATAGCTTTCCAGTGTGGAAGCTATTTACTTTCCGTGAAAGTTTACCATTTTAAAAAGGTAAGAATTTTGTCTGTTTTAGTTTGGGATTTTAATTCAACAATAAAACTTGCTTTTATGTAGTGCCATTCATATTATTAAAGATTCAGAGCACTTCAAAGCCATGTTTGAAGAGATTCTTTGACATTGAGCTACACAGAGGTGTTGGGGCAGATGACTTAAAGCTTGGTCAAAGATCCAAACCTTGGATTGATTAAACATATTAAAGGAGATATGTGAGGTATAGAGTTGGTGACCTTTAAGAAGAGAGATTGGCAATAAATATGTAGAAAAATATTGATGTAATTCAAGTCTTGAGTGTAGCCTATTTGAATTATTACAATTAAAAGTGTGACCTCTGAACTGTCCTAAAAATGTGAGTTCACTCAAGTTACAACTTAAATGGTTATAACATTCACCATGTCCGTCAGTGATTTGGTTGAGGAGAAGGAAAAATGCTTCAATTTGGAACTGAAATTCTAGTGAGTAACTTTTAGAAGTCACTCACAAAAGGATCCAGTACAGCGATTAGTAAGAAACGATATTTAAGATCAAGTTCATGAGAGGCCAGGGTTGAAGTTGAATAATCATTGATTAAATGTATTACATTTAATCTGCGTAATGAACAAACTTGATGGGTCAAATGGTCTTTATCAGTGCATTCTTTCTTATGTTGTAGAGTGAGTAAAACAGGAAAAAGGATAGTTTTATTCTGAGCATAGAAAAACGAAATAGCAGTCCTTAAGTAGCTTTAAGTATTTTGTTTTAAAGGAACTCTTTATTACCTGCGAATCAGCAAAAACTAACAGTCATGTTTTTAATAACTTACTCAGTAACTTGAATGTTTCAGGTGCTGAGATAGTAGGAACTGCCGATGCTGGAGAATCTGAGACAACAAGGTGTAGAGCTGGATAAACACAGCAGGCCAAGCAGCATCAGAGGAGCAGGAAAGCTGACGTTTCAGGTCAAGACGTCAGCTTTCCTGCTCCTCTGCTGCTGCTTAGCCTGCTGTGTTCATCCAGCTCTACACCTCTATTTCAGGTGCTGTACGTTTGGCTGAAATCAAATGGCCATGGGATTGTGAGTTATTTGGATTCACAGTCACTGAAAACAAAGGAGTTTAACAAAGGAGTTTGTCTTGCTTTAAATATTAACACATCATGAACGACTTTGTTACAGATTGCACAATTCTTAATGGACTCTGATCACTTTCTTCACAATTCTCAAAACTTGGTTGCCCAGGTGTGAAATAAAACTACACTTTGAACTTTTAATTACGAAGTGATTTTGAGTCAGTCCATGCTATTTAAATCTACATTATATTGTATTAAGGCCAAGATATTATTTGTTATTCAGGAGGAGGATTTTTAAAATTTTAAATACAGGTTATTGTCTTATCTGTTCATCCTAAATAGAAATTCGAGTCATCTTTTATTTATTGCGTATTTCTCTTCTCAGATGTGGCTCGAGCTATTGAATTGCTAGAGAAGCTTCAGGAAAGTGGAGCAGTGCCAATCCACAAACTGCAGTCCTTACAGAGAGTACTACAGAGTGAATTTTGCACTGCTGTCAGAGAGGTATGGAAGTCATTAACCTATTGCCAATAGAAAAAGACTTGAAATTATGTGGCACCTTTCATGACCACACAATGTTGTAAAATACTTTGTAACCATCAACACTACTTTGAAACTGGTAATAGGAGCAGCCAATCTAGCACAGCAAACTAGTAGTAATATAAATGACGAGATCATCAGTTTTTTTGGTTATCGGCTGAGGCGTAACTAATGGCCAAGGCACTGGAAGAACTTTGTAAGAAGAACTTTGTAATGTTCTTTTGAATAATGAAGGATAGATTACATAGTTTAGAAGGAACGTCTTTCATGAAGAGATGGAAGGGAATTTTGCAATTTAAGGCTGAGGGAGTTGAAGACAAGATTGCCAGTGATTTTTGTGATTTAAGTTTTAGCATGAGATAAAATTGCAGTAACCCAGCAATTGAAGGGGGTTCTTGGGCTGGAAGTGATTATAGAGATGGGAATTTGAGGCTATGAGAAGGCTTTAAAGGAAGAATGAGAACTTAAAAGACTTATCTCACTGGATGCTAATGCAAGTAAATGATGGGCGCTTGTGACTTTCCTATCCATATTGGACAACGTTTGGAATGATCATATTTATGTTGATGAAAAATGGGAAGTCATCTGTTAGAATAATCAAGTCTAGAGATAACCAAAGCGTAGATGATGATTTCAGCAGCAGGTGAGCTTAGATAGGGGCGAAGTCAGCCAATTTTATGGAGGTGGATGTAAGTGGTTTTTCTGAGGGTGTGGATAAGAACATCAGAGCAATAGCAGTATAGCAGGGGCAGTCATGATTCACAAACTTGACTGTGTTTTTTAAAAGAAGTGATAAAGATGATTGAAGAGGACATGCTGGTGGATATTGTCTACATGGGCTTTAGCAAGGCCTTTAAGGTCCCTCATAGGAGGCTGATACAAACAATGAAATCACATGGGATTCAATGTGAGCTGCTAAGATGTATACACTCACAATGACGCCGCCCGCAAACTGGAAGAGCAGTACCCCATATTCCGCCTCAGGAGCCTCCAGCTCAATGGCCTAAATGTGGATTTTACCAGTTTCAAAATCTCCCCACCCCCAGCCTCATCGCCTTGCCAACCGTCTCTCTCAATCCCCACCTCCTTGACCTGACACAACCTATCCATCTTCTCTCCCACCTATCCGCTCCTCCCACCTCACTGACCAATCCCCACCACTCCCTGCATGCACTCACCTATCACCATCCCACGTACCTTCCCCAGCCACACCCCCACTTCCCCATTTCTGACCTGAAACGTCAGCTTTCCTGTTCCTCTGATGCTGCCTGGCCTGCTGTGTTTCTCCAGCTCCACACTGTGTTATCTCTTACTCCAGTAACTGCAGTTTTTGCTATCTGAGCAGCAGAAGGGTGTTTTCTGACTACAGATCTGTGGCCAGTGGTGTTCCCTAAAGGGCATTGGTGAACCAGATGGGTTTTTTTCCACAATTGAAAATAGTTTCATGGTCATCATTAGGCATTTACTTTCAGATCCTATGATTTTCCCTCAAATACACTTTTAAAAAAAACTGTTTTAGTGCTTCAATAATGGTGCTTGTAAGTAATCCAGGTAACATATTAATGATTCAAAGAGTTTAAAATACTTGAAAGGGTACTCTTAATTCCAAAAGGAGAATAGCATCAGTATCCAAGTGCTTATATTTGTTAATGCTACAAGTCATCCACTGTTATTCAGTAGATGCAGTAACAATGAGCTCAGTGGGAGACCCCCTGAAGCGCAATTAAAATTGCATTTTCAAATCAATAAACCTTCTAAAGCATTTCTAATACTTGATTAACATTTAAAATCCATCAACACATTTCATCTTCATTTGGATTCTGTTATGTAGAAATTATTTTATATGCTCTTGAATTCTGAAAACCAATCTTATCTTTTATTTAAAGTCTCAATTTGAATATAATCTGGATACCTTATTTAATACAGGGACAAAATTTTTGAAAAAAGGCTCTCCAGTGATCTGTCTGAGTGTCGTATTTGTCTACTGCATAAATGGACATTTTACTAAAATCGACATTTGTACTGTATGTGGTCAATGCCTCATAGATAATCTAAAAATGATCTGCAGCATTGTGGTGTCTTAAATATACAAATTCTGTACTTAATGCACTCAGTTGTAGATTGGAAAATAGCTTTCGATCCAGATTATTTGGGGAAAAACAGGGCATGTTTAAATAGAAGCAGTACTCAGTCTCATGACCATGAAGTTAATATATAATCTAGAATGCTGATTGGTGAAATTCTTGGTAAATTTGGGGTAAACAAGAGAAGTATAGCTGGAGCAAAGAGAGGGGCAAAGGCCAAGGTCTCCATGGACAAACTACTGTACATAAATTCCTGTTTACCAATAACAGTGCGCCAACTACTTCTTCAAAGCTGAATGTGTAATGTAGTGTAGACAGTTCTTCAATACATCCGGCAATTTCATCTTTATGACCAGCACAAAGAAAACTGAAGCAATGCACCAGTCTGCTCGAGAAAAGTCCTATCTCAAGCCTGAGTTTTCAGTCCATAACCAGCACGTGTTAGCAATGGCTAACTTCACTAATCTCAGCGACACACTCACTTTTGTACTGTCTCTGTTGTCCACAAAACACGTAACAATTCCCAAAGCCTATGGCAGATGTTGAACAGCAGTCTGTGAATGAAGAGAAGTAAGTCTGCCTCCCAAGCTGCAGGCCTGTTGACAGAAGGTCCTGCCCGCTCTGCTCGAAGCAGTGTGAGACTTGGATTGTCTACCAGTGTATGCCAAGATGTTCAACTCTTATTTGAACTACCTTCAGAGGCTTCTGAAGATCAGGTGGACATAGTGCCAAACACAGTTGTTCTTCCAAGTTGGCATCCCAAGCATCAACACCAAATTGAGACAGTCAGAATTGAAATGGGCTGGTCATGTAGCCAGGATGCCCGACACTTGTTTAACAAAGTGAATCTTGTATGGAGAGTGTGAGTCTAGGGTGCACACTCAAGGCTGTTAAAGGAAGCACTACTTCGACCATCCTAGAATATAGAATAGAATATCCTTTTATTGTCATGTGTACTCCATTGTAGGAGTACAGTGAAAAGCTTTTACAATGTCTACTGCCTTTTGGCAAGTACCTAGGTACAATTCTTGGATACAGCAGAGGAATAAAAGTAATTCCGGTACTTTACAGAACTTAGAACTTAGAACATAGAACATTACAGCACAGTACAGGCCCTTCGGCCCTCGATGTTGCGCCGACCTGTGAAACCAATCTGAAGCCCATCCAACCTAAACTATTCCATTATCATCCATATGTTTATCCAATGACCATTTAAATGCCCTTAAAGTTGGCAAGTCTACTACACTTGCAGGCAGGGCATTCCACGCCCTTACTACTCTCTGAGTAAAGAACCTACCTCTGACATCTGTCCTATATCTGTCACCCCTCAATTTAAAGTTATGTCCCCTCGTGCTAGCCATCACCATCCGAGGAAAAAGGCTCCCGCTGTCCACCCTATCTAATCCTCTGATCATCTTGTATGTCTCTATTAAGTCACCTCTTAAACTTCTTCTTTCTAACGAAAACAGCCTCAAGTCCCTCAGCCTTTCCTCATAAGACCTTCCCTCCATACCAGGCAACATCCTGGTAAATCTCCTTTGCACCCTTTCCAATGCTTCCACATCCTTCCTATAATGCAGTGACCAGAACTGTATGCAATACTCCAAGTGCGGCCGCACCAGAGTTTTGTACAGCTGCAACATGACCTCATGGCTCCGAAACTCAATCCCTCTACCAATAAAACCTAACACACCGTACGCCTTCTTAACAACGCTATCAACCTGGGTGGCAACTTTCAGTGATCTATGCACATGGACACCGAGATCTCTCTGCTCATCCACACTACCAAGAATCTTACCATTAGCCCAGTACTCTGTATTCCTGTTACTCCTTCCAAAGTGAATCACCTCACACTTCATTGGAGAACAGTAGCTAATGGATAACCAAATGTGGCTGGCAATAAGTTGAAAAATAAGTTAAAATAGGACATCAGCAAGGGGTTGACATTAAAGTAAGGGAGGTAATTTCAGATAGACATTACATTGTAGCAGCTCAGCGCAGGACCTTTGCATGACCACCCACACCAGACCCCAACAGCCGTCCCCGCTCCACAGTGACACTCAGTTGCTCCAAGGTAAGTTCTAGGACTGCCTCCCCAGCTCTGCTGTCTGCCCAGGACTTGCTGCCTGCATGCTGCTCCAGAATTCACCTCTGGTGCTAATGGGGAGAGAAGAAGAGAAAAAGAGAGGGGTGGGAGGGAGAGAAACCGGAAAAGAAAAACAGGTGGAGCAGAGGAGCTCCAGCAGGAGCATCCTACTGTGCCACCATCTTGCGGAGTCCTAAGGCTTCACCTGGAACTTTTGATATTGACTTTGTACCCTGAGACAAGCTTGCCTAAGATTTCTGCTCCTGGCATAACCAAATAAAATGTGTTATGGCCTCCTTTTGAAAGAAAATGCATTTCAGAGGCAGAAAGAAAATGCAAGCAGAGGAAATTGAGCCAACAGCTCCAAAGCTCAACTGCTTGTGGAATTCTGATTTTTTGCAGTCGAACATTCTGGGTGTAAATCAACCTTAGCAGTCACTCAGGTACCCTATCAAATACTCCAGATGATGAATATATTTGTCTTAGCCTCTGAGTGATCAGTGATATGAATAGGAAAGGATTAGAGGGATATGGGCCAAATGCTGGCAAACAGGTCTAGATTAATTTAAGATATCTTGTCGGCATGGACGAGTTGGACTGACATGTCTGTTTCCATGCTGTACAGCTTTATGTGAATTTCCACTGTAGTCATATTCATTTCCAGCAGATGAGATGACCGTACTGCTTATTAAATCCCAGTTGGCTCCTCTTGGATTAAACCAGTTGGCCACACTTTGCCCTGTTCAATCCCTGTAACCCTGCAGTTTATTTCTTTCAATTACCATCCAGTTTCC